ACTACCAATTAAACCAGGAGTAGTATATGATTAAAATTAATAATGACAATGTTAATTGTTGAAAACCAATGACTGGTATTATATATTAACTTGTTATGACAATGACAATGTAATTTGTAGAAACGTTGTATACAATCAAACCTAGGAGTATTATGTATTGTGGCGATTTAAATTGTGAAAACATTGTTTTTAATCAAAATCCATGAGAAGTATGTATATATTTGTCAAGGCTAATAGTTGAAACATTGTTTACAATAAAGTCCACGAGAAGAAAACACCAAATGATATCGGATGGGGTGTGGTAAGGGTGCAATAAGAAGCAATTCCTGTCACAAAAATATTTTGAATTCCTTTTATGTTCCTCGAAATGTTTCGTCCAACATTTTCATTTTTTTCTTTTCAGGAAAGTATTGATGAATGTGAATCGTTTCCATGTCAACATGGTGGCACTTGTTCTGACAGGGCGAATGATTATAGTTGTAGCTGTAAAGATGGTTGGGAAGGAAAGAGCTGTGAACAATCAGTTAGTTATTGCAATGATACTGTTTGTAATGCTGGAGCTTGTGTTAGTTTAATAGATAATTATTTCTGTCGGTAAGAACAATATTTGTATTTGCGGTTGGACCGTACCAAAGATACTTTTGATCCCCTTTCGTGAAAATATCTATACTTACGTGAATCTAGTACATGAAAGATGTTCATGCATTTCACCCTCAAAAGTTGAGAAAATGAAGTATTGTACAAGATTAGATTGTAATGATATGCTGTCGCCCATCCAAAAAAAGTTGATCAAGACAATTTTTATTTTTTTTCGATATTAAAGAAGTGTTGGACAAGTATTTTACGTCCAGCTTTTGTGTTGTTCACGACGTTTGGTCAACTAATTGATATGTTATTTCCTGTTTTTTTATTAACATTAACACATGGTGTGGGCAAATAAACTGCCCCACCCCCTAATTTGAAATTTCCCATCGTAATAAACTTATTTATAAGAAAATTACCACTTAAACCCCAAGTCACAATTTTATTTCATTGGTATACAGTCAAACTTTTACAAACGGTCATCTGTGGCAAGTAATAATAATTCCTACAATTCTTTACTTAATTATTTAGATGTGGATTAGGAGTTACTGGTCAAAATTGTGAACAATCACCGAATGTTTGTGATATAATCTCACCCTGTACTTCTACTGGTACATGTATGAATATTGGTGGTACTGCTGAATGTCAGTGTAAAGAAGGTAGGTTTATTCGTTGTACTGAAGTAGCTTACTTAATCATTCAATGTACTGACGTAGTTTACTTAATCATTCAATGTACTGAAGGAGCCTACTTGATCATTCAATGTACTGACGTAGTTTACTTAATCATTCAATGTACTCAAGGAGTTTACTTAATCATTCAATGTACTGAAGTAGCTTACTTAATCATTCAATGAACTGACGTAGTTTACTTAATCATTCAATGTACTGACGTAGTTTACTTAATCATTCAATGTACTGACGTAGTTTACTTAATCATTCAATGTACTGAAGTAGTTTACTTAATCATTCGATGTACTGAAGGAGTTTACTTAATCATTCAATGTACTGAAGGAGCTTACTTAATCATTTAATGTACTGAAGGAGTTTACTTGATCATTCAATGTACTGAAGGGGCTTACTTAATCATTCAATGTACTGGAGGAGCTTACTTAATTATTCTTTGTACTGAAGTAGTTTACTTAATCATTCAATGTACTCAAGGAGTTTGCTTAATCATTCAATGTACTGAAGGAGCTTACTGAAGGAGCTTACTTAATCATTCAATGTACTGAAGTAGTTTACTTAATCATTCAATGTACTGAAGTAGCTTACTTGATCATTCAATGTACTGACGTAGCTTACTTAATCATTCAATGTACTCAAGGAGTTTACTTGATCATTCAATGTACTGAAGGAGTTTACTTAATCATTCAATGTACTGACGTAGCTTACTTGATCATTCAATGTACTCAAGAATCTTACTTGATCATTCAATGTACTCAAGGAGTTTACTTAATCATTCAATGTACTGAAGGAGTTTACTTAATCATGCAATGTACTCAAGGAGCTTACTTAATCACTCATTGTACTGAAGGAGTTTACTTAATCATGCAATGTACTCAAGGAGTTTACTTGATCAATCATTGTACTGGATATCACTGTTTTAGTCCACACAATAAAAAATAATTCAGTGTACCGGATAAAAGGAGTGTACTTTTTAGCAAATTTTTCGGTGAAATCATCCAGTGTTTATAAATCTATTTACCTTTATTGATTTATGTAGGTTTTGAAGGCAAATCATGTCAGTTAATTAGCGGAGATCCTTGTAAAGATGTTAAATGTAAAATAGGTACTTGTAACAAGGGAGTTTGTGAATGGGGGATCCTCA